TTCCATCTTTTATTTATCTTTTATTTACCGTACGTATAAATATGTGTGTGTGCGCGTGCGTGTGTACGTATAAATGGTTAAATCGAATCCCATCCGACTACAGGCTATTATGGACACGTGGACGCAGCAAATGGGTTTTCCTCTGATCACGATTACGCGTAACGGGAATACAATCACGGCTACTCAGAAGAGATTTTTAATTTCGCCGAAAGAGAACGATACGGAATCGCAACGAACGAAATCGTCGTTTGACTACAAATGGTATATCCCGTTGAGCTACTACACGGACAAAGAACCGCGCAAACTTCACAACGTGTGGATGAATTTGACCGACGGTACGCGAGACGAGAGCACGAAACAATGATCGGAGAAGCGTTCGTTGCCTCCCTACGTATATATATTTAAACGTATGATTTATTTTCAGTGACGTTCGAGATACCTAGCGACGTGGAATATATAAAATGTAACGTGAATCAAAGTGGATTTTATCGCGTGACTTATCCGGAAGAGATGTGGGCATCGATCATCGCTACCTTGTTGAACGATCACACCAAGTTTAGCCCAGCGGACCGTGCTAATCTCATCGACGATGCGTTCACGTTGTGCGAGGCGGGCGAGTTGAACGCCACCGTTCCCCTTCGATTGTCCCTTTATCTTTTCAACGAAAGGGATTACGCGCCGTGGACCACGGCGCTCAGATATCTACATTCTTGGAAAGAAAGATTGAGCGAAAGTCCTGGATACAAAAGATATATCTTATTTTTTAAAAAACTGTTGACTCCGGTTACGAAATACGTGGGTTGGTCCGACGAGGGGTCTCATTTGAAAAAGTAACTATAACTCATAATAACTCGTAATAACTCGTAATTGCTAATACTAATACTAATATAATACACGTATCTCTTCTCGAGAAGACAATATAACACGTTCGAATTCGAAATCATTTTCTTCTATATATATATAAATTTTCCCCTTCCGCAGATTATTGAGGATCGCCGTACTTCAATCGGCTGTGTCCATAAAATTGGAAGATGTGGTAAAGCCAGCCAAATCCCTTTTCGAAGATTGGATGTTGAAAGGTAAACGGATCGCGCCCAATATACGGAATGTAGTGTACATCGCAGGTAATTATCTTTTTTCCTCTTTTTTTTTTACAATTGTCTATTTATGGAATAATAAACGGAATAAAAAATATACGGATTCGATACACGGAATCATGGGTACAGGAATCAAGTTTGGCGGTGAAAAGGAGTGGAATCATTGTTGGGAAAATTATCAAGAGACTCAAGTATCGAGCGAGAAACTGATAATGTTGGAAGCGTTGGGAGCGAGCACAGATTCTTGGTTGTTGCAACGTTATCTTCTACGGTCGTTAGATCGTGACATGGTGAAGTCGCAAGACATGGAAACGGTTATAATTTCCGTCGCCACCAATTCCGACGGTCAATTTCTCGCGTGGCGTCACCTTAAAGCGTATTGGCCTCAGATACACGTTTTACTTGGCAATGGATCGTTGAGCGGACTTATATCTGTCGTGGTTTCCAACTTTTTCACGGAATACGACTACCACGAGGTTCGTATTTCTTATTTACACGTATTTTCTTATATGCACAATCTTACTCTTCGTTGAAAAAAATTTTACGAAAAACTTCACTTTAGCCTAAACTGTCGCTAAAATTTTTAAAAATTCTCCGGGAGAATTTGCATCCGATTGGATCGATTCGAAAAGAAGGAGGAATGCGTTTTCAATTTTTTCATGGTTAAACCGTAGGTTTCGGAATTCTTTAAAAAGGTGGACGTCGGAAGCGGTGAACGTGCATTGGAGCAAAGTCTAGAAACGATCAAGTTCAATATTCATTGGGTAAAAGAGAATGCGGATATCGTTGATCGATGGCTGGTGAATTATTTGAACGTTCAGACGAGTTAACCCTTTGTTTACCGGGAATGGGACAAGAACGATGCGAGATCATCATCCGTACGTTTCGTAACGATATTTGCGTTTCTCGCGATACGTATCGACGCGCGATACCTTGGCGTGATACGATATCTGCGGAAAAGCAAGATATGTTTGGCGAGATAATCGAATCGTTTATTTACCAGTTAGTTAGGTATATTATACACGCATAATTCGCAGATCAAGAAAATGTCACCCATTTCCGTCATACGCGTCGAAAGATTATTTTCGTCGGTTAAAGATCGAAATACCAAAGTTTAATACCCTTATGGAAAACAATCTTTCGACGAATCGAAACGAAGCCGAATTGTTTACCTATAGCGTGTGGAACGCATTATACACCGATTTATACGCACTTTCGAAAGTACTTTATTTACTATACACGCGGTGCGTGAAGATTGGATTTATTATTATAGGTATATGTATAAAAGAAAAAGATTATTATAGAAAAAGGGGCAACGTTGTTCCTTAGGGTAGTCGGTAACCCAACGTTTTCCGGGAAGAAAGGGGCTAACGACCTACGCCTATTAACGTTGATACTTTGCTAGTCTCCCAAGATACATACGTACTTACTTGTACTTTACATTACGAGGAGCGACTCGAATCATCTCCAAGTGATACCTAACCCTCTCTCTGTCTCTCTCTCTCTCTCTCTCTCTTTTCCCTCTTCCCGATCCATCCATCCAGTGCAGCGATTCAACCATACGAATGGTAACGAAATTTCAGAAGAGAAATGCTATTTACGTATTTTATCGAATCAATCGTGTGCTCTGTGTTAAAAGAGTAGCCGTAATACTATCGGTAATATGGAATAATATTTTGGCCTGTGCTAGTGTATGTATGTATGTATGTATGTATGTATGTATGTA